GTGTGTGTGTGTGTGTGTGTGTGTGTGTGTGTGTGTGTGTGTGTGTGTGTGTTCCAAGCAGAGCTGCTGTTTATTGACAGACTGAGCCGAGCTGATATTGAAGCTCCTCTAAAACAACACGCCGAGGCGACCGCAGGAACACAAACATCAAACCGTTCGTCGCACAAATTCCCGTCTGAGGATCTTCTGCCCAGTAAAATTTCTTTATTTTTAAAAGTCTGCGTTCTCCAGTGAAACTCTGTGGAGCGTCTCAGGACGTCACCTGACTCCTAAACAGGAAGTTCATGTCCAGATGTGACGATGTCGTGACCTTTATGCTGCATTTCATAGGTTCTCTAGTTTCCTTTTTCCCTGTTCGCACTGAGCCAGAGAAGAACTTTAATGCTCTAAAAACAAAATGAATATGATGAATACAAGTTTACTGTAACAAGCTCTTACACTGAGCTATCTCAGCTTTAAATCTTTATGACTTAAGTTTTCATTTTGTTTTTTTGGCATTTTTTAACAATAAGATGTAGAATGATGTATTTTTGACAACATGTCACAATATTTAAGGTTCTAGGTTCTGTTGGGTTTTCTGAAACTCTGACAAGTGATGTAAGTTTTTCAAGCCCGTTCATGAGGTAAACAGACGAGTTGGTCGCGAGCCTGGAAATGTTTTTAAATCCAGTTGAAGCACGCTGTGTGTTCATTTCAACATCCAGGACAGTAGAAAAAGTAATCCTACCAATAAACAGCACAGAGATGAAAGCTCAGGTGAGAACAGCAGCAGTGAGAGTCAAAGCAGCACCAAAAGTCCATGAACATACAGCTGAATTAATGAATGAACATTTTCTCCATTTCCTGCTTTGCATCATGGATTACACCCACTTTTTGTCCTGCACGACGTCTCCACATAAATAAATATCATTCCATTAGTGCCGCCCAACACCTGCAGCCACTTAATATTGAGTTTAGCTGCAGCGAGGTGATGTGCAATACACAGATTAGCGTCAGCAGCCGTTTCAATTCAATCACGAATGCAATAAATTCATGTGCCGCCTCCTCCGTCCTGCTGCCGGCGGACGGAGACCTAATGCGCCGGGAGTGGCCTGGAGGTGAGATATGCAAAAGGGCAGCCGGGGGGTCGCCGGTTTTATTTTTTGTCTTGGAAGGTACAAAACAAACGCTGCTCTTTCCAATGTCAGCGTGCACAGTCTGAAGCTGCTAGAACTGGGGAAGAGTTTTAGGTTTCATGTGGAAAAATGAAAGCAAACATTCACCAGTGAACAGCCAACATGAACAAAAACTAAAAAGAATGCATCTGTTGGAATAAAGAACATGATGAATTTTAATCAAGGACGGAACATTAAAACACTGAAGTTCATTAATCATCAGCTGCTCGTGTCCTTATTCCAGCCTGAAGGTTTCAGCCGTTCTCCAGCACTAGAACCAAGGATCGCTGACGATGTTCATTATTTTTTTTGTGTGAACCTGAGTTGAACTGTTCAGAAAAACAGCCTGGCTCCAAGCCAGCTGTCAAGCCCCACTGCATCTGATATGTCATGTTATTTTTCCTGGAGACCTGAGGCGCATTAGCATAGCGCTCATGGCTCGGCTTTGCACGAGATCCAGACACCTGCCATGAACTGTTCGACTTCAGGCAAACGCTGGATCGCAGAGCAAATGAAAAAGTCAAAGAGTTGTAAATGTGTGCCAACAGGAATCAAATAGACGTGCTTTTATTGTAACGGGAATGTTTCGGCTGCAGCCAGAGTGTTGAGTGGATTTACTTTCATCATAACAAGATGTTTTTGTGTTTTGCTCCAGCAGGCTTTCAGGTTGTTTAATGGAGTCCTTTTGTCTTTACTTTTACAGTTTCTGGATCCAGTAAATGGTGTCATGTTGGCAGTTTACACACTTTCAAACAGATCAGTCGGTTCTTCTGAATGTCTCAGGACGCTTTTAGAGATTTTATCTTTTATTTTAATTTGTCACAAACATTCACTCGACCTCAAAGACAAACTGACAAGAACCTGGTGGTCTAAGGTCTAAGGTCACTCATCATGTCCTGCAGAAAACACTTTTCTGACCATTGATCAGCACCATGACTCCACGTTATCACATTTTTCAGACTTAATGTCACATCGAGTCGGTGACTCTGATCTTGGAGGCTGTTGGGACTCTTGAAGCCGTGGTGATTGTGTGTTGAGCTCCTGTGCTGTCGGGCTGAAGAAGCATTTCAGAACCTGTGGATTCTCGTCTGCTGTTATATGTTCAGTTTGCCTCTTATCAGGATCAAGTCAAGTCAACCTTACGCTCTGCAGAAAAGGTATAGAGCAGAATGAAATCACTTTCCTGCTCCGACGAGACAAAATCCGCATCATGTAGAGACAACAGGAGTTATTACAGAACCACATGTCCTGCATAGTGCTGGCATAGTGCTCTATAGAGAACTACAAATGCTGCTTTGAGTTAAAAATATGTTTAAGATTTGATCAAAGTGGCTCTATGCAATAGAAAATAAAGTAATCCTCTTTACTGCCCAAACACGTGAACACAGACGATGAATCGGACTGTTTTCTGTCACTAAATGAACTTAAAGTAATCGATTACATAAGTCTGGACAGACGTGCATGTGAAGAACAACTTAAAAACTTTAAAGGATCCATAGAGACATCAATCAAGAAACCACTGATTTTATAATCATGAATATATGTTTGAGGTAAATATATTATTTATGCATTTCTTGATTTTTTAAAACAAACATCTAATAGGAAGCTGCGAACCAAACCAGCCGCTGAGAGCAGGACTCACCGTGTCTCAGCTCTACAGGCTAATCAATAAGACAGGCCACATCAGAGCAGGACATGATGGGACAGAAAAGAACGAACCCTTCAACAGCGAATCACAGCAGCTCTCAAACACGATTGTGAAACTGCTTTTTAAAAATTTTTTGTATTTTTATTTTTGGGCCTTATGAAAACAGAACAGTTGCATAAGCTCCAGGCACGCTCCGTCTCCTTCCTGGCCTGTCGGGGCGGCTGTGCTTTTGAAAACACCTCCGGCTGAAAGGCTGCGTCGAGGAGATGTTGACATTTTTGTAGCGATCAACCATCAAGCCCAGAACGGCTGCATTCATGAGCGACCCTGTCATCTCTCAACGCCGCCGCTCTTATCTCTCCCGCTTCTCTTTCGCTCTCTGCTCTCCCTGCAGTTCAACCCTCAACTTTCTCTCCTTCGCCAGGTCCGTTGCACCTCCTCCTCCATAGTCCTCATCATTTTCAGTGACTAAAAGCCCTGAGGGGCTTGAATTATTATTGCAAATTCCAGCTTTGTATGTGGTCTTTCATGAGAAGTGTCCATCATGCCAGTGCACAGGAGCTGTAAACACAAACCGTCTGCATGAACACATAAAGCGTTTTTTGTTGTTGTCTGTATTTGTGTGAAATTTCCTCCATCTGCACACCATGTTTACGAGCATTTCCCACGTTTGCACTGTTATTTATCTGCCAGCGTTCCTTCTCTGCAGAGACTTGAAGCTGGACAACATCTTGCTGGATGCTGAGGGCCACTGTAAGCTGGCCGACTTCGGGATGTGCAAGGAGGGAATCCTGAACGGCGTCACCACCACCACCTTCTGTGGGACGCCAGACTACATCGCGCCTGAGGTAGCCCCCAAAAACACTCGAACATGTCCGATGAGACGGCCTCTTACCTGTACGAAGCTTGTTGGTGTGTTAGTTTACATGCTCGACTCTGATTGGACGGTTGTTTTGCCCCACTTCCTGCCACTGTGCTGGCCCACTGCCTCCTCACAGATCACCAAAGTTAGACAATAATAAACAGGGAAACCACATCAGATCGTCAAAACCTGCTCGACTGGAGCTGCGTCTCACCTTTAGAGGAACTGTCGACCTTTGCATCCTTTTGTGTTTAACAAGTAACTCAGACGTGTGATCAGAAATCTGAACATATGAAGCAAAGACCTCATTTAATTGGCTGCCGTCTCAATGTGCATAATCGAGGAACAGAATAAAGACACAAGAGTTCGACTGTTTGCAGATGATGTTCTATTTAAGAGCTGTAAAGATTGGGGCGTCTTTATGACCTCTGGATGTTCTGGTGATTTTCTGATTATTGTGTTTTTGTCTAATGTTGTTTAAAAGAACTATTTTGTACTTTTCATTCACCACAGTTGGACACTGTAACTCTCTGAAATGAAGGATCAGATAATGAACCCTTTTTATGGATTTAAAACGCGGTGAAACGTTTTAGATGTTTTCTTATTCTTTCATACAGATAGTTTCTGTGTCTCTGTGTGTGTTCAGATCCTCCAGGAGCTGGATTACGGCCCGTCGGTGGACTGGTGGGCGCTGGGCGTGCTTATGTACGAGATGATGGCGGGACAGCCGCCGTTCGAAGCCGACAACGAGGACGACCTGTTTGAGTCCATCCTCCACGACGACGTCCTCTACCCGGTGTGGCTGAGCAAGGAGGCCGTGTCCATCCTGAGAGCGGTCAGTGCTGTTCGTGCTTCGACTTTGAGTGTGTCAGTGCAGAAATGATGCTGCTGCTGATGAGGCTTTGAAGGCAGCTTCATTACAAACCTCCTGATATGAATGCGTCTGAGTCGATGCGTTTGAGGGCAGTTGGAAAAGTCCACAATGTCTACATGTTGTGAGGATTTACTTGCTCTACACGCTGCAGTTTATTTCCTTTCTCCTGTGTGGACTCATGATTCACTGCAACATAAAGTCCTGCAGCTCTGTGGAAACAGAACAACCACGACTAGAAGCAGAGAGAACTCAGAAATGTCAATTATGTTGCCTTGAAGCATAAAAAACAATTGAATATTATCTATATTCACAAAATTTAAAAGAAAAAAAATAAATAAACAACTGCGTACAGCTGATACCGACACTGAAGAAACCGGTGGCTTTACATCTTACAACTGTTCTCCTGCTCACCTGTTGAATGCGTTTCCTGTCCGTCTCCACTTGGTGTAAACGCTGCCTGCAGTTCAGCCGATCAGCGCTGGAGTTTCGTGGTTTTGCAGGATTTTTTGTTTTCTTTCCAGAATCTTGTTAAACAATCAACAGAGACGTGTAGAATGAAGTGATTTTAATGAAACAGGAAATGTTTTCTGACTCGACAGCACAGTGATCAGTCTGTTTGTACAGTTTCTGATCAGTTGTGTTATTTTGCTGATTCTCTAAAAACAACATGCATTTCAAACCTGCGGGCCGGTTTTGGGGCTCAGTGGGTCAGAACGCATCCACTTTTTATATTATATCTGCTGTTCCTGAGGCTTTTCTGCTAAAATGTCAGATCTATGAGACGTTTTTGGGCGCAATCGTCCAGAGCCAGACTCTGCTCAGACCACATGTCGTCTTCCTGGTTGTGTTTCCATCGGTTCTTTGCTGTTGCCGTGTGTTCTGTGTGTTCTGTGTGTTCTGAGTGCTGACAGTCACACATTTTGAGGAACTGTTGGACTAATGAGCTATTACAGATTCAACCTGTTTGTGTCTCTGCTGTCGTCTCTGGTCACATGTAAGTGAGGATGCAGCCTTATTTTAGTGCCGTGTGTTGATCCGTGTTTCCTGTTCCTGCGCTGGAAGAACATTGGATAATTCCCTCTCTATTACTTTTGTCTCTGTGTGTTTTTCAGTGTGCGTTTCATTGTGTGTGTGTGTGTGTGTGTGTGTGTGTGATGCCACTGGTCCGTTTGTGTATTTGTCCGTCCAGTTTTTCCATCACAAGCCCTGCGTTTACCTTGGCTGTTGGTACAGTTTGGACTGCAAAGCCTTGTGGGAAAGTGTGTGTGTTTATGTTGGACAATGTCTTGGACTCTGACCAGTCGCTTGACCGGCACTCTGGGCTCTGATTGGTCGCGTCGTCCAGCTGGAGGACCTCGAGTCACATGATGAACCCTCTCGGCTCAGCAGCTTGTTCGCTGCTCCGCTAGAGTTCAAGTACATGAGAAAATCCTGAAGAAAGACTTCAGCATCTAGTCTGTCCAATAATAACGAGCATCTATGAAGAACTTTGTGGGACCCAGAACTAATGTTTCATATGAAGTCTACACACATCATAAAAACACGATGAACTTTGGATTTCTGTTCTTTGGCATGTTTACCAGCAGCTGTGATGATGAAGCTGCTGCAGCTATCTGGACAAGATACCGTCATGAAACGTTCCAGGTGTGCAGATGAGATGAAAAAGAAAGAACTGAGGTCGAAGATGGGTCTGATCCAAGTTCATGGGTCAGAAAGTCGACCAACATTAGTGTAATGTCGCTGCTAGACAGTCTGGAGTTAGCAAGCTGCTCACATTTCAGATCAGCCCTGTATTCTTACCATAATGAACATGAGCTCGTTAGCATAGCTACGTGCAGAAAATGAATCCATTGGAGCAGAAAGAAAGAAAGAAGTCCGTCCAAACTAGACACCGTCCTGAAGCTTTGTCAGGACCTCAGATTTGTGACCAGGTGGGAGACTTCTAACCAAAAAACACCCGGTCACGTCACCCGGGATCTTCCTGCGTGGAGTCTCCATGTTCTCCCCGTGCAGCGTGGGTTCTCTCCGGGTTCTCCGGCTTCCTCCCACAGTCCAGAAACATGCTGAGGTTAATTGGTGATTGTAAATTGTCCGTAGGTGTGAATGTGAGTGTGCTTGGTTGTCTGTCTCTAAGTGTAGCCCTGTGATAGACTGGTTACCTGTCCAGGTGAACCTGCCTTCACCCTGAGTCAGCTGGGATAGACTCCAGCCCCCCATGACCCTAGTGAGGGTGAAGGTGTAGAGATGATGGATGGATGGATAGTTTCTAGACTACCAAAGCCAAAGTGTTAGACACCGTTTACCCATCATGCATCACCACCAGAGAAACCTTCAGTCGCTGCCAAATTCATTCTGCAGCAAGAAAACAATGTCAAACATGTCACCAGAGTCACAAAGAACTTACTTTAGTGGCATAAAAGAACTAAAACAATGTGCATCTCAGCATCGTGGAGTCAGTCAGAGAACCAGAACTCACTGAGAAAGTTCTCAAGGATGCAACAAACGTGTTGAAAACATGTGTGAAGAGCCCTCACAGCAGATGCAGATTTAAAAATCAACCCTGTTCGTTGCAATATTCTTGAAAGGCTGTGAACTGTTGAACCGGCTGCTGGGTTTGAAAGCCATGTTGTCATAAAGACCATTTATCTGAGCTGCTTACCTTTAAAACTGAAAGTTTCGTCCGACTTTGAACATTCCAACGATCCTTGAACTGCTCATCATGTGCGTCCATCAGAAAACAAATCTAAGCTAAAAAAAATTGAATATTTCATCAGAATCGCACCTTGAAGCACACACAGCTGCTTTAAACTGTCTTATGATCGTCTGGACTGGAACGTGGACGATTTCTGGCTTGATTTTTAATGTTCCCTCTTCAAAGCCTTTGACGCTCATCGTCGGATGTATTTTGGACCTGGTTGGTGGTTATTATGTGTTTGAGCTGTTTTCAGGTGAAATAAATGAACAGGAGAGCCTGATGTCCTCTTCACCTGTAAGAACATTAACAATTCACCTTCAGCTGAACAGCATGTATGATTCTCGTTAACCGCTCGCTAGATTACAATCAGCAAACTGACATTTACGTCACCGCAGGCCTGTTTCTGTTCCTTTCATGAAGCCATTACTGTCAAATGTTGTGCATAATTGGAGAATCTCTGTCCTTTTTTTGTTCAGTTCATGACTAAGAGTCCGAACAAGCGTCTGGGCTGCGTGGTGGCTCAGGGTCTGGAGGAGGCCATCAAGCTGCACCCGTTCTTCAGAGAGATCGACTGGACGCTGCTGGAGCAGAGGAAGATCCGGCCGCCGTTCAAACCTCGCATCGTGAGTTTAAAGTGGATTCTGTTTGTTTGGAATGAGCCTAAAATATGAGCATTAATACGACATTATTAAAGGTAAAGAGAAGCACTCAGTGTATTTGTACTGTATTCTGTAAAAACGACTAAACATTGATCGTACTGGTTGAAGCCTGCTGACGCTGCTGCAGTGACCTCATCTTCTCGCTCTTCCAGAAAACCAAAAGGGACGTGAATAACTTTGACCAGGACTTCACCCGCGAGGAGCCCGTTCTGACGCCGGTGGAGGACAGCATCGTCAAGCAGATCAACCAAGACGAGTTCAAAGGATTCTCCTACTTCGGGGACGAGACGGCGGCCTAGACACGCTCACGTAGACGCGAAGCCCGCCGCAAACTTACAAAACCTCCAGAGACACGGTGTTTAAAAGAAACCTCCTGAACTGTGACCGCTCCAGGAACTATACTAGACCATTTGTGTTCCTCATCACGCTTCCTGTGCTCTCGTTGTCGTCGTCGTTCGTCCATCTGTGCATATTCCATCGAGCAGCATGTGCGAGCAGGTCGGACGCTCGTCTAACGGACAAAACCAGAAGTAAACACGCAGCTAGAGGCTGTTGGTGTGTTTGTGCGAGAGACGGGATGTGATGTGTGTACAGGCGTGCATGCATGTGTCGTGGCGTAGCCTAGACAGTCATTTCTTCACACACTGTGCTGTATCCTGTGTCTGTCTCTGTGTTTAACGAATGTTTTTTCCTCCCTAAACGTGTATGTGAACGGTTAAAAACAAAAAAAGTAGATTGTATTTAAAGACAAAGTAAGAAATCAAAGACATTTTTTTCGATGAAGTCATGATGATGTTAGAGTTCTAGTCTTTGTCGGTGCTTTGTTTTAAACTCAAGAGTCAAACTGGCAAATTAAATGTCGACTTAAGAAGAGGCACCACGAAAGCGACACTTTGGCATTTTGAGTTTTGGTTTCGCTTTATCTCAGCGGCTCTGTTTGTCAGAACGCTGTGCATCTCCCTCCTTCAGACATTCTTCATCGAGAACCAAATGGTACCATTAGCTGCTTGCTAACAGACCTAGCGTAGCTCACCACTGGGAGTTGTGTTTTTTTAGCTATTTTTTCGTACAACACGATACTTGATGACTTGTCCAATGAAGCCAAATACTGAGCTGAAATCTAAAATGTCAGATGAGCCCTTTAAACATGTCCTTTGAATCCAAGTGCTCGTTACTGAAACTCGTCGCACCTCGCGGAGCAAAACCTGAGTCAGCGACCACTTTGTCCTCCAGATGCCTTGTGTGCGACCAGTTGGCGAAGCGAACCCCGACGGGAGAGTCGTGCACGGAGGAGAGCGTGACTGAATGTGTTGAAGCGAATGTATTTGCTCTGCAGCGTGTGTGTGCACGTCGTCATCGTGGTTTAGTTTTTTATTTAAAACATCGTCGTTGAGTTTGTTTTTACTGGATCTCGCTGAAAACGTCGGAGATCTTTAGATGTGGCAGATTTCAGAGCCGGTCTTCTTCCTCCTCCTGTGCAGCCTGAACATGGAGGTCCAATAAGCTTTGGATGAGCAAACTGGCCTCAGAGGGGAACTTCTGAGGCGGCAGGTCAGCTTCATGACTTTATATTGAACTGAAAAGGTTCCAGACACCTTCTAGAAAACTCCACGTGCAATACTCTGAAATAAAGAGTTTATTTTTTCTTTTCTTTTAGTCATTTAGATCTTTTTTTGTTCTGTTTTTCTTCTCAGTAACCTCACACACAGACACACGTTCATGAATTAACCGTTCTAAGTTTCATTGTAGGGCTCAGAACAGTTTCCAGCCTCCATCACATTCATATGCAACTATCAGGCACTGGTGAGCAGTTTGTGGCAGGTTTAACGCTGGTCGTACTCTTGGAAGAAGAAGAACCTGAGGGAGCCTTTTGAGGTTTCTCGCTGTCTTAGTTCTTGAGGAACCCCTGCAGCAGAACCACTGTTGGGTTTCCATTTAGACATCTTTATTCTTATTATAGTGTCATGTTTTTTTTTACCCCCAAACACAATCAGATATTCCAAAATGCAACAGAGACCTTTTTTTTTGTTTTGTTTTTTTTGAATATTTAGAAAATTCTGGACCTCGCCACTGGTGTTACGAGTCATTTGGACACAAATCTGTCAGACAACATCCCAATATGGTCAAATATTATATTCTAAACCTGCTGAAGTATTACATGGTACTAATCACAGCAGGAACCAAGGATCTCAATAACAGATATATATTACCAGTAAAATAAAAACCTTGGTTCAAATAGTTTACCTTTAAGTCTGATGTCTAAGTTTTGCATGTTTTAAAGAAAGCTTTAGTGTAGATGGATTGTTATTTGTGGTGAGCGTTAGCAGCATCGGAGCCAAAGCAGCACATTTTGAAATGTATTTATTATTTATTAGGAATCAATTTTTTCCAGTGAAAATCAAGAATAATTGAAAAAATGCTGAATGTTGCGTCTGTAATCAGTCGATCTGTGTTCAGTCACTCAGTCTTCACTGAATTACCACAAACTAAACAGGAATACATTCTTTTGCTCACTTTAATTCACACCAAATTACACACTTTTCATTATTTGTCTTTATTACTATGAACTTGCTAATCACTGAAATGACATATTCTCAAACAGACGAGAGAGAAACCCAGATACCACAAACCAGCACAGTGTCTACGTCTGATCCAGAGCATGTGGAGGTTTGTTGATGTTCAAATGGAGCCTGATCGGAGCATCATCACGTGTCTTAATCGACCATGACGACGACGTTCTTCAGCGGTTTTACCTGCCGAACCTGAAACGAGCAGAAATTCTAGGAACAAACCGTGAAGCGTCTTCCTGAATGATAAATCACTCTACAGCAAACTGAGCTCCGGCCGGAGCTAAATAGTTGCATATGAATGTAATTGATGAGGCTGTGTTTGATTTGTCCTCTGCGTCAACAGAACCAGGCAGCGCTGTGCTGTGCATGTAGCAGTAGAAGCAGAACACATGTTGTAGCAGCAGCAGCGACAGCAGAACATGCACCAGATGCACACTCACCAGTGCAGATTTAAGGCTTGTTTATTCTCTTAATGTGTCTCCTGTTGCGTCTTAGTTCAGTTTTTAATATTAAAAATGTCAAACCGTTTGTCCCACTGCGACCCAACAGGGACGCTCTGTCCTCCGCGCTAAAGGCCAAACGCTGCTTCCAACAAAAACATGGCTGGTGCAGGAAGCTCCTCCACACAGCCGAGCTGGACGGAGGTGGAGATAAACTCAGCACACGGTGGCACGACGGCCAGTTCAGACAGTGGAAACAGTATTATGATGCTTCAAGTGTCAAACATCCATCTTCCTCTGGTCATATGCAGAATCTTACCGTATGTATCCGTGTGTGTTCTGGTTTATTTTGCGGTCCCTGTACTTGTGAAGCTTCGTCTGTACGTTTCTGTCCCCTGACCTGTGGTTTAGTTCACTGATGAATCCTTCCCTCCCCTTCATGTGTGTTCATGTTTTTTTTGTTTATTTCTTTTGCGCTACGTGCCAAATGTACTGTACTTTAAAAGGATGTGAAGGTGTATTTTAATTTTTTGAAATGAATTAAATATCATGATGTCAAAGAGAAACTGCAGTTCGTTTGCTCTGTTGAACAGATTTCCTGCATGTCTTATAAATCAGTTTAAAAAATGCACAAACTTCCTCCAGAATCCTCTTTAATGCACCGTTTCATACTCTATTAAATCCCCACGTTGCCTTCCAGGGTGGAGAAATAGCAGCACTCGTGTTTGTTGATCACAAATATTTGAGAAGTCGGCGTTAAATGCCAGAAGCTGTTATCTGTCTCCTGGTTCCTGAAAAATGTGGTGAGACCTGCTCTGGAAACGAAGCTCGATGAGAAGCTGAACGCTCCGAGGCTCTGGTGAGATAATCAAGCTGTGACGCAGGTTTAGAGTTTGGGTTTTGTTTGTGTCATCTGACAGAATCACGTTTTAACGCTGACACACAAAAACCTGCAGCTGATTTATGAATCTGCTTTATGGGCAGTTCCTCCAACGACAACCACAAACAGGAAAACCTTCCTGATAAAAACAATTCAATCCACGTTTCAGGATGTGATGCACACAAATCAGTGATCACAAACTCCTAAAAGCGAGGCTCCTAGCAGCAGAGTGCACATTTTCATTACTGAGTCTTTTTTCTTGGAATAAACTGCAGAATGTGCCTTTAAAGCTTTGCTGCTGAGCGATGAGCTGCAGCAGGACAGGACGACGTGATGCTGCTGCCAGAATCTGAACTTTCATCACGATCAACACTGTTTTCATTATCATGTTCAAAAAACTGATCTGATCTAAGACACGAGATTTGCTTCCTTCAAACTGCAAAACAGAAGGAAGAGTTTTAGCTCCTCTGTCTTTAAAGTCAAACAACGTCTCTGCAGAACATTCATTCAGCTCCGACCGAATGTCAAAATAAAAAGCAAGAAATGTTGGAATCTATTAATATATTTCCATTGACTTATTGAGAACTGATTGATGTGAAGTGTTTCCTCTACATTCTTCTCACAGGGTCAGATTTTAATCATCATTTTTAATCTCATTTGCATTAACGCTTTGCAAAAGTGGAAGAAGTGTTGCTGAAGTAAAAGCACCAAATACAGCGATGTGAAAGTACAGCAGCCAAATAAAGTCCAAGTTTGAAAGTCAAAGTGGTGGTTTGGTCCCTCTGACTGATAAAATGTTGACATCATGAGATGATTAAAGCTGAAGCATCAGCAGCATGTTGTGGTTGTGGGGTTTAAAATAAAGTTCTGACCCATAATTCTGTTTGCAGGTTTTGGAATTTATCTTCTAAACATTATTTTGTGGAGCCGTTAACTCAGTAATCTGACCTGTGAGTCCGATTTCACGCTGCTGCTTCTCCTCAGAAGACAAAAAAAGTTGGAATGTTTTAATCTTTATCTGTAAAAACAATAAAACAATTCAAACTATTTGTTGCCACCACCTGCTTCCATGTGGCTGTAGAGTCTGATGCACACATTTAGATGAACTTTTTAAGCTGTTTTGAGGAGTCGTGTCGACGTGATCATGCTGCTAATACTGAGCGTCATTTAAACTACAGCTGAGGTAACCTAATGGAACCAAACCGGTAATTAAAACACCTTTAATTGTAGAGGACGAGCTAATTGTCCTGATTCAAGGTGGTTTGTTGGATCAGAATCAGTTTAAATGACGACCAGGTTTTCACACACGAGGATTACGATGCACGACAGCAAACTCTGATAAGCACAGAAAGTATTTAAAGAAGGATGAAAAGATGACAAAAAGAGGGACGTAAACATTACAGGACAAACAAGGAGCAAAGCCAAGGAATTATAAAAGCAGTAAACGGATCCACAGGAGTCTGGTTCAATCAACCTGAGAGTGATCAGAATAAAAACCTCCAACAGATCACACACTTCACTCTGGAAGGAGGAATAAAGTTGAAATATCGAGAGTACTGCAGTCCAGGCCCGTCAGAGGCCTGCTCACCTGCTCAGGTACCACCAGGTAGGAGCCCCGGTCCGGCGGTGGGCGGGGCGGCTCCGGCGGGGGGGCGGCTCCCGGCGGCGGCCGCAGCCAATCGGGCGTCCGGCGCTGGGAGCCCCGGCGGCAGCTGCAGCTCCGGGTCAGACAGCAGCAGCTCCGGGACTTTCTCACAGCGAGACGCGAACCGGGAAAAGTTTCCAGAAGCGGACTTTGCGTTGAGCTCCGGCCCGAGCGGCTGTACGATCCTCGGCAGTGTTCTGAGACCGTACGGCCCCGATCCGCCTCCTCCAGCCCGGACGGGTCACCTCCAGCGCTCCGGTCCACAGGTTCCGACAGGACGCGTCCAGACCTGCGCACTTCTCTCTGCGAACTTTCAGCCTGCGGTGACTCCAGAGTTGGACTTTTGGGGAATTATTTAATCACAGCGACGGTGCAGAAGAGGCGACATGACGGCGGACAAGGAGAAGAAGAAGTAAGAGTTTCTCTTCTTATTCGGGCTTATTGCGGTTCCGTTAATCCACCGGTGGCTCCTGAGCCGGACCTGTTGCTGCAGCGCTGCGTGTGAGCTGGACCGGACCGCGGCTCTCACGGTGCCGCTGATTTAACGTATTTTTAATGGACCGAGGTTCTGATCTGATCCAGAGCTTCATGTCTGTGTTCAGAGGAGCTTCTGTTTGCTCTGAAAAAACAGATTTAACTTTAATTTTGGGCACTTTTAAAATCAAGATTCACTTGTTTTAGGACATTTATGAACTATTTTCATACTAATTATATTAAAATCCAACAGTTTGAAGCTGTATTCACTCATTTTAAGGATAAAAAAGGCATTAAAATGCAAATAAAACCCTGATAAGTGGTCCTATAAACCAAACATATCACCTCATGTGGTTGGTGAAGGGTTATTTTGTGGACAGATGAGCAGAACCACTGTGAGGATGAAATGAAATGAAATGAAAAATACTTTATTTATCCCAGAAGGGAAATTCAATGATGCAGAACAGAAAATGAAATGATCAGGTTGTGGCTGTTCAGCAGCATGTATGTGACAGAAATGATCAAACATGAAGAGGAATGACGACTACAAGCAGTTTCCAGCCAGTCAGAGGAATAAAATGTGTATTTTTGGGTCAGAATCCAACCTGCTGACCCGTCACCTGGCTGTCGATGTGGGCTTTACCTCATCACCTTCAGTCATGAGGGCAGATATCAGGCTGCTGCTCAGGAACATCTGCAGGTATCTGAGCGTCCCAGATTAGAGCGGGTTAATCAGCAGCTGGAGTTTGACCAGAAGCCGCTGCTGGTGTCTCTGGTCACTGAGTGCTTTAACCAGTTTGTCAAGCAGGAGACTCTTCTGCAGTTTTCACCTGAATAAACCCTAAACCAGAGCCCAGGCCGTCCTTCAGCAGATGTCTCACTTCCTGTAACTTCACCTCATTTACATTTTTGGCAGATATGAGCAGAGCGTTTTCCCCTTAATTTTAAAAGCAGCTTGGTTATTTTTCCTGCTAATGCTGCCTTGTTGTTGTTTTAGTGGCCTGACGTTGCGTAATAATGCTTCACTGGTTTCAGCTTGTTCCAGTTTGATCCACACCTGCCACAGAGAAACAGCTCAGTTTGGAAAGATGAGAAGAATCCTCTTTACTGTGACAGGAATCAGATTGTGTTTGCCTCCTTGTGTGCCCGTTGAGGCTCTGGTGGTCACAGATCAGGTGTTGGGCAGAGAAGTGGGGCTGAAGCAGGAGAGAGGAGGCAGGAGGCCTCATCAGACGAGCGCTTCCTCCACCTCGACCCATCGGCCATTTTAGGGAAGCGGGCCTCGGCCAGTGTGTCGGGCTGCACATGAAAAGCGTCTGTGTTCGAGAGTCCAGTTTGTGTTGTGTGTGTGTGTGTGTGTGTGTGGCACAGTAGCACTTTGTCGCCGCCGCCGCTGCCTGGAAGTCATAATTGCTGTGATAAGTTGTGTGATTCATGACAGCTGCCTGGCGCCCGTCCGCTGCTTGTTCCAGGTCGCTCTCGTTAATACGACTCGTGCTGATGTGACGGGACGAACTCGCTGGAATGTCTCCTGGTACCGCCGCTCGCTCGCTCGCCGTCGTGGCGCTGAAACCACAGCTTTGGGTTTGTTTTGATAGAGACAGAGAGCAAAGTCAGATGTGTTGGAGGTGACGGACAACACGGCATCATCAGGTGTTCTGTTGTTTTTTACATAAAGCTCCATGTGGATGTTCTACTGAGGCCTCAAAAGCTGCTTTATTGGTTCTGTGTTTAATTGAAGCATGCTGGTAGGAGCTAATGATGCTTCTTTTAAATTATTTGGTCCAAAAAATGTCATAAAACTATTTTAAAAAGTTTGTTTGACCCAGAAAATCAGCAAAACCAGAACAAATTGTGGCCTTTTTGCTTAAAAACTGACCGAATAAACCAAATTAATTCCCAGGGTGTAGCTGTATGGTGACTGATCATTTAATTAATCATTTCAGCTCTAGTTTGTAGTTATTAATAATTGCTGCTGTGTTTTCTCACAATTTAAAAACCACAAACTTTTATTTACAACAGTTGTTGATCAAAATTCAGTCTCATTCAGTCGATTATTAAACTATTGGCCGGAGCCCAAGATGACATCTTCTCATTATGAGCATTATTTACCAACAAATATTTATTACAGTATCAAAGATGATCAATGAAACAGGGACATATTGCTGTTAGAGTCGCTAAAGCTGGAAAATTTAAATTGTTTTTGCTTCAAAAATGATAAGTTTGAAATGTTGTCAACAAAATAATTTTAAAAATCCAAATTTACAATCGTGTAAAATCTGCATTTTAGAAATGAGTGAATCCTGGGATGAAGCATCACGACCGTCCCCCTCAGTCAGAACAGTCCTCACTTTTAAAACCCCTCATTACACCATCAGCAGCATTTATAATAATAATAATAATTATAATAATAATAATAATAATAATGCACATTATCACCCATTTAATCGTCTGGTTGCTTGCTGAGATGATCAGCCCAGACCCCTCTGGATGCTGTTCAGGTGGATCTAAAGACCTCGGCTGATGTTTAGCAGCAGACATCCATCAGTCATGTTGTATCAGAGGGCTGCTGTGCTGACAGGCTGCTCCTGATCAGTCTGATCCCAATAACCGTGTGTTTGCTTTGGCCTGTAACCCACATGTTTAACACGTCAGCCATGTCGCTCACGTTACCGCCGCCCCTCCAGCTGACTACATTAAAAAGCGTTATTTTTACACGCTGGCTGCCTCGATACCAGAAATAAGTTGTGGGCTTGTGAGGAACCTTTCAGCATGTGATTCCTCTGGAAACAATGCTCAAAGGTCGGAGTCCGGGGCAGCTGCCAGACGCATATACATTACATGACCGCCGGAGGATTGATCCGTCAGAGCGGATCTTCTATCTGCTCGGAGGAGAACTTAGCTCGGTGTGTTCTGGAGGTAGAAAAACGTGACCGAGAGGATTCTGGATCTAATATGTACCATCATATGAACTGAAATAGCTTCTTTCTAATGTAAATATTAGGATTCGGTCCAATTAAAGGCTCGTTATGAAATCAGATGTTCCACCATCGTTCCTATCTCAGCGTCAGTCCAGGTGGTCGTCAGGTGTCGGCTGGTGACGTCAGCTCCTTCCTGTTTAAGGTCACCAAAAGGAAGAAAAGGCTTCGTTCAGTGAAAACAGAAGCGACTCAAATGAACTGGATTAAGTTCACCCGACTTAAGTCAGCAGTTAACGTAAAAGTCGCTGCTTAAACTAGAAAATCATCTGATTTGTGTCTCAATTTAAGGAAAGTCACCTCAAATTTTCCAGGTTTTTTAATTTAAATACTCGTTTTACTCAAACGTGATTTTGAAGAAAATGACGGTCGAGTTGAAGCCGAAGAATTTCCTCAGACATCGTGACGACGCTGAAGGAGCAGCAGACCTCATTTCTGCACTTTTACACCAGTTTAAGCTGCAACTAATGATTATTGATTATTTTCCTTAATTAATCAGTCGGTTGTTTCATCTAAATAAATAAAAAAATAAAAAAATCAGAAAATGTCAGAAAATGTCCATCAGTCTTCCTGAATCCCCAAAAATAATCCGTTTACTGTCATAAAGGAGTAAAGAAACCAGAAAATACTCTAATTTAGGCTTTTTTGTTCCTGAAAAATTACTCAATCTATAATAAAAAATAGTTTTAAGCAGTAATTACTCCTCCTCCTCTCACAACTTGAGATTCGAAAAAAATGTCTGGAAAATTACAATTTATTTATTTTTTTGTAGGAAAGAAAAATAAATATAAATAAATAAGTTTAGGCCTGTTGCGTGTTGGCAAGCTGCTCCAGGTTTAAATGACGTGTGGTTTCCAGTAAACATGTAGGTTGTGGTCAAACTGTTGTCAGAAGTTGTGGCACACACACATGTTGTGTTTGTGGTGCAAATACTGACGGTGAGGTCAGAGCATTGATTCATGGCTCAGATTATCTTCCCGTCTCGCTCCATGTTCTCCTTGTTTTGGGCTTTTTGTTGCCTCTTTGTTGTGCAAACTCGCGTGAGGAGCAGAGAGAGCAGCAGGAGGAGGAGGACGGGCTGCCGAGAACAAGATGGAGAACAGAGAGGGAGGACGGAGAGCTGCTCGACAAGACGCAGCGATAACGAAGCGGTGCAGGCGGACGGACATCAAGCAGGAATTTAAAGAGCAGAGCGCGATGGAAGCGGCCCTGGCGTGGCGTCAGAGGCCTGTCGGCTCTGCAGCGAGCCCAGGCCCGGTTGGCACAGCGCCGTCATGCCTCTTTTGTGCTCTAACCCCACCAGGCCGGCCTCCCAGCGCTGCCCAAACATCACGCCATCCAGACATGCAGAGAGCGAAGCCAGAACGTTCATTTAGACGGAACGTGAAGTTATTTGCTGTTTTCTGAGACGGGGAGTAGAAAAAGTTCTGACTCCTGATCCGTGCTGTCCTCACAGGTCCTTAAAGGTGTTTTCACTGCTGCACATCGACCTGGAGAAGCTGTTTTGTTCTTTTTAGCATCACTTCTTCTCATAAAACCATCCAATAGCTGTGTGTGTTTGGCTCTCTTCAGGGTTTCTTTGGGCACAGATCCTAAATCAGACTGACGCAGATCATTTCTCGGGCTGCAGCCAACGACTATTTTCCTTCCTGAGTCACTTTTTAATATCTTTTTGATGAACTGGTTCATTAGTCATTCTGTGATGATGATGGAGTTTCCATCAGGAATATCTCCACGTGTCCAAACAACAAATTAGATGAATTCTGGGAGCTTCAAGCTGCAGGTTGTGGCTGTTTTTTGGCTCCTTTTGTTTGTTTTTTTGCTCTCTGTTGGTTCTTTGTTCACTGCAGCATAAAGTCCTCTATGGGAACAGAACAACCACGGCTAGACATAGGGAGGATTTAGACATGTCTGGTGTATAGTATGAACCGTTTATAATGCCAGAAATCATGAAATAGGA